GGGCCATCTGGAGGGGGCAAAGGGAAGTGAGGTGGGTAGGAGGGAGGAGCAGCCCCGAAAGAGAAGGAAGGGAACTCATGGTTGGGAATGCCCAAGTGTCCCTGGCACCCACTTGAGTACGGCTCTAGAGGCAGGGATCTCCACTGGGCGTGGGGTGGAGAATTCCAGCTGCCTGGCTGTGGTTGTGGGTGAGTGAGGAACCACCATCTGGAGGGGGCAAAGGGAAGTGAGGTGGGTAGGAGGGAGGAGCAGCCCCGAAAGAGAAGGAAGGGAACTCATGGTTGGGAATGCCCAAGTGTCCCTGGCACCCACTTGAGTACGGCTCTAGAGGCAGGGATCTCCACTGGGCGTGGGGTGGAGAATTCCAGCTGCCTGGCTGTGGTTGTGGGTGAGTGAGGAACCACCAGCTGACTGCCATTCCCGACTCTGTCCTACGCTGCCATTCCACCCTGGAGAGCTGCTACCGTGAAATTTGGGGGGTGCTGGGCACATCTGAAGAAAATCAGGGGTGCTCACAAACTGAAAACCCGAGATCCGTCTTGCAGTTAGTGTTTGGCACCAATATAAACAGCAGAGAGTTAAAATCCACGACCCACGGGATGCTGTAGGGAGCCAGAAGTCCAAAGAAATTCCAGCCCTCAGCAGGTGGAGGCAAAAAAGGCCGGTTCTGTCCCAGGTTCCAGCCTTGAAAACTCATCCTTAGGTTGCCTCTTCTGCCCAATTCTTCTACATGGTTGAGTCCTTAATAACGAGAGCCTGGCCCTTCCGCCTTTAGATCACCTGAGGCAGAAGGTCCGCTCGCTGGAGTCCCTGAAGGGCATGCTGGTGTCTGTGTCCGAGGAGTGCACCCAGCAGATCGTGGCTCTCCAGGAGGAGGAGAAGGCGGAAATCACAGCGCTGAAGAAGGAGAAACTGTACTTGTTGAAGCAAATTGACAAGATGGAGGAGGAGAAGGGCTCCCTGCAGACCCAGGTAGAACAGGACAGCGATCAGCCATAAGTTTCTCTCCACAGCCTTCTGCAGCTAGTCCGGGACAGCCCGATCCAGCTGCCCTGAATCAGCGGCAGCTTTGCCATTGATGGCAGTGGGAGCAGCCCATAGGTGCAGGGAGGTCAGGTTTTGTACCCAGCTTCCCTGTGCCCAGTTGGCAATCCCAAGCTGGAGCCCCAGTGGTGGAAAATGGGACCCTGAGAGACCGGGGAGTGGCAAAGCTAGTGGGGCCAGGAAGATCCTGGAGGCCTGGTGAGCCCCCATGGGAGCCCCCGAGAGTCAAGGACCCTCAGTCCCAGGGCTGGGGAAGCCAGTGGCAGCACCTCGGCGTGGGAACTAGTCGGGTGGGCCCCCCGGGTTTTTCACCCTGCTTCTCCACCCCAACTGCACCCAGGGATTTCCCACTACTGGCCCACCACTGGCTTCACCAGCCCCATGAAAATCCTGCTTCATTGAACCTGGCAGAGCCTCCTGGCTAACATCTCCAGCCATTCCGTCTGCACCGAGCATGCTCCAGCCCCACTGCGCTTCCTCCCCTGCAGCTCGTCCACACTGAGCATGGTTCCTGCAGCCACAGAGCCAGGACTCCTGACGTTGCAGCTGCAGCCATGCGTTGGCCTAGGGCAGGGCTACTCAACACGTGGCCCGCAGGGCGCTTTGGGTTAGCCGGGGGATCCTTTGAGCATGGCCTCCATGGGGAACACGCTCCGTAACGGCGAGTCAATAGAATGGGCTGTTGCCATGTGTTTTACTAGTTCAGTTCCTGGGCTGTCGTTGCTCATTCAAAGAGCTGTCGGATGGGTGGAAATGCGGTAACTGTTGCTTTTTGTTAATATCAGCAGAGCTGACTTAAATGGGGCCTGTGTGTTGTGCAGTCCTGCCTTAAGCTTTGTGTTTATGCCCGTCCATGGGAAAGAAGCTATTTGCATATATTTGCATGGATATTTGCACATATATGCAACCACGCTTAAGTTGTGGCCCTTGGCATGTGCTGTGGGTGTCCCCGTGGCCCCCAGGGCTTCCAAAGTGGAGTAGCCCTTGCCTAGGAAGGCAGGGGTTACACAAAGGCATGTGTGGGAGGCGCGGTTCCCTTTAAATGCAAAGGTCAAGGCCCCTCCTCTCCGTGGGTCGCAGCTCCCCCCTCCGCGGCTCCTTGGCTTGGGCACGGAAACCTCGCTCCCGCTTCAATCAGGTTAGCTGCTGGGGCAGGGCGCTCTGGCTCCTGCGCCCACCACGGGCCCCGGGCCCAGCTCCTCCCTGACTGGTGCGAATGGTTCTGTGCACGGTGCTGAGCAGAGCCTCCTGCCAGCAGATCAGGCTCTCCACTGTTCACGTGGGGCACCGGAGAAGCTGCAGAAAGTCACGTCTGGGAGTGGGAGCCGGAGGCAGATTCCGTGCCAGGCCTCTCAGAGGTCCAGGTGGTGAGGGGTGGGGGGTAAAGGCGGCTTTACGCTGCCTTTGTATTGTGACAGTGCGTCGGGGAACCCCCACCCTGCACCCCCATCCGCAGCCAGACGGGACTCTCAGCCGGCCGGGAGAGTAGAAGGGTTATTGGTGCTCAGGGACAGCGCAGCGTGGGAGCGGTGGGAGCTCAGACACCGAGAGCAGACATCCTTATCCCTCTGGGGGGCCCTGAACCCCCTTCCTGCTCCCAGTCGCCTCTCTTCCCCCAGCCGAGACTGACCC